GTTAGGGAATAATATTACACGCACAGACATATTTATATATATTACACCATTATGAGCATGGATTAATTAGTAAAAAATCAAGAAGCATTTTTCTTCCATACTCAAAGTGCCTGTTATATAATTTTAATGAGAATATAATGTATTTTCTTTAATTAACAAGAGAACCGGCAACCACTTTAATTAATTATGTGTGACGAGGTCGATCAGAAATATTTTGTGAAATTAAATTGGTTATAAGGTTATCTGCATATCTATCTGATATACCTAAATAGGCCGGCCCAATGGGCCCTCAAATTTATCTACCAAGTGGGCCCATCACGCGAAAGCCCAAGCTCTTCAAAATAAGGCGTGGGCCCAACAAAGTAAGCCCAACCCATTTAACGATATATAAATAGATGGTTTATTCATTCGTAAAGGTACGTTCTCATTTTTATTGATAATCGACCACAAGTTTATTCTCTCTACTTTTCTCTACAATCCGTACATCTGACTTGAGCGTCGGAGGGGTTTCCGCCGGATCAACCCCCGGCTTAGTTCACGTGTGCTCATTTTGTAGGGACCTCAGGATCATCGAGTTGAATAGCTATAGATCAGCTTTGCTCTCCCTGCTTGTTTTCTACATCATCCTAGGTGAGCTATACTTTAGCATCATCACTATCTATACTTAACTGAAGAATCTAGTCAACCAAATATCTATCAACAAGATCCCAACTCCATGCAAGAACAACAGATAAAAAAAAGTGACACTGACAGAAAATTAAAATATATAACACCCAATAAAAATGAATATTATTTACAGTACACCTATGTGGATGATGATAAGGATTCTTATATATATATATATATATATATATATATATATATATATATATATATATATAATTTGGATATGATCTTTAACATTGAAGAATAATTTTGAAATATACACTAAAATTAAAGTTTTTATTTCATCTCTATCTTCAAAATATTTAGGTTGCTAGCTATCTATATAATGTTTTCGACATTAATTAAGTAATTAATTAATTATATATTAATTGGCCAATTAAACAGAAAAGAATGCGGTTGATCGATTACTAGCTATAAATATAGATAGATATGGCCTTCGAATTTGTCAAGATATTGGAAATTAAAGAACATATATATAATAATTTCGTTTAGTTCATCAACGTTATAACTTAATGGCATTTGCATTGGATTGCTCTCATTTCGTCGGGAAATTTACGTACAAAATTTGGCGTTCTTTGTCATCGAACACTAATTATCAAAGAAATACTCTTTTCAAGATCATGCAATTCACATCAATGATGATGCTGCAAAAAAGAAATATCTTATGTTCCCTTATGACTTGATAAAAGTAATAAAAATAAAAATATTTACAAAGCTTTTCGGGTCCCCCGAAAGCGTGATCCCACATGATAATTTATGCATAATCATTGATATTTTATTTTTGGAATGTTCGGAAATTAAATAAAAATATATTTAGGGAGAAAAAAAAAAAAATTCTCAAATGTTTATGCATTTTTAAGATTTGTATCGTATGTCACGTTTCTGATTAGCCGTATAGAAAATAAAACAAGCGAAGTTGTACCGGAAATAGGGTTCCGTTCTTATCCCCACAGATTTGTATCTATCTATAGAAACTATAAACGGCACGAGATATATCGAAACCTGGTCACGATTTACCGGTGCGAGAAAAAAAAAAAACTTTTTCGAGCACGAAAATTAAACAGCTAGTAATTCTGGATAAATACAGATAACTTTTTTTTTTTGGACCCACTAATAATGAATGACTATAGATGAATATTTCACGTTGGTTTTAACCTGTTGAGAAGCAAAAATGATGACATGGATTAAAAAAAAAAAGAGATAAAAAAAAAAAATTAAATAGATAAAATAAAGTAAGCCTGTCTACAAGCTGTGCTTTTTATTACCAGCTGGATTTTTAATCTTATCTACTACACATTTTCTTACATGGCAAATTAGGGCAAAAACCACGCTGTTTGTTACTGACAAAAATTACCAAAATAACCACCCCCCACCCTTACTATAAATAAAGCATCTATTCATGCTACATTTTTCATTGCAAATTTACTTTTATACAAAAAACTTTTTTTTTTAAATATCGATAGGGAAAGATGGGATCGAACTCGATATGGACGAGCAAGCAAAATAAGATATTCGAGGATGCATTGGCGGAGTACTGTAAAGATTCGCCGGAGTGGTGGCAGAAGGTGGCTAGGGCTGTCGGCAAGACGGTGGAGGATGTGAAATGTCACTATCAGAAGCTCGTTGAAGATATCGAATGCATCGAATCGGGAAAAGTCCCGCTGCCTAATTATAGACCTTATAAGGAAAATCGCAAAGAAAAGAAAATCATCGATGATCAAGAACAAAGGTATATATATACATATAAC